AAGGTAGACCACTAAAAAACCCATCCATAACCTAAAACCCATTGGGCCCACCAAGGCCTAATAATAAAGGGGGTCCACCGAGGCCCAACTCTCAAGTCCAAGTGGCAAGCCCAACTCAGGGCCTATTTTTATATTCCTCTGGTCCAAAAATCCAGTGCAAAGAGCTAAAACTCCAGGCCCAACACTTAAGGCCCAAAATGAGACTTAGCCCAAAAGTCCACAGTGAGGTTACACGGGGCGTACCTCCTTGGTACGCTCAGCGTATGCACGAATTCAGATTGGGCATCGGGGACATTTGGTCACTATGCGGGGTGTACTGGAATTATGTTCAGTGTATGTCCATGTTTTCTCTTCCTAATCTTTTGGTCTTTACCCGTTAAGTCTTTAACTCAGTTCTCAGATTTGGACCCCCTAATAGCTTTTACTCCATAAAGCTTGTTACTTTAGGCATTTGCATGGCTGATAAAGTCCTAAACACAAAGACTCTTACTCTTTACTCTCAAAGAGGCTCATATCTCATGCATGAAGTGGTTCTCACGTCCAACACCTCATTTTTATTGATCCTCTCCCCAAGAAACACTTAAAAGGATAGATATTCGGCTCGGGAGTGCAACAACTCATAAAGATTCAAGCTTTGGGACTAAAACCCTAAAATGGACATATCATGGACAAATCTAAAAGGATGGGAAAGCTTTGAGATTTATACCTCCAAATGATGCTCCAACCATAGAAAAGATCAGATCCAAAGCTTGGAATCCAACTCCATTCTCTTCCATGCTCCTTCTTTACTACAAAAATCCAACAAGATCACTTACAAGCTCACAATTGATCACACAAGCCCAAGGGATGGAAATTAGGTTTGAGAGGGTTGAGTTTCTGGAAATGGTGGCCAGGAATGAGGCCATCTTATTCTTTATATAGGGACACCCCCTCATTTAGGGGTTTCATTATGTGCCTAGTACGCCCAACGTACCTAATGGTATACCCACCGTACTAGTTGGCTCCGCTTCATTTTCACACTTATGAGTACGCTAAGCGTACACACATGTACGACACGCGTACTCATCTTTCACCTTTCCCAAATAATGGATCTTTCTTGCCAATACTTCAAACTATCATAGCTTCCTCAATATAACCCTGTTTCCAATGAACCTCATATCTACGGAAAGGTGACGAGAAGCCCTACGCCTCTAGAAACTCATCGTAGCCCCGAGGCTTCCTCATGCCCTGGTTGCATCCCACGAACCCTAAATCACAGACGACCCAAAACAGGATGTTACATTACTTTTTTGGATATTAATCTTTTAGCATACATAAGGGTAGAAACAATGAAACATTCAAAAAATAGTGATTATTAGGGTATGGGAAGAAGATGATCATTTCTAGAATCAAGAAGTTTCCTGTATTACTTGAAGAATCATGCAACAACTTTTCAAATTTGATAGTTTGACTCTATGCCTGGATATCATGAAGTCCAAATTATGGGGGTAATCCTTTAAGGAACAAATTCAACTGAAGACACTGATAAAAATGACGAACTAGAGATTTATATGAATTCAAATTCTTTTGACTACGAAAGATAACCAATAAATCAACATTAGATGCTCATTATATATATATATATATATATATATATATATATCAAAATATAGGATGTCGGTTTCAGATGATATCAAGAAATAAAATTCGAAATTGTATTTTCCTTAATAATTTCCTTAGTAAAGTAAAGTTTTGGCTAAAAGTAAAATTACAGGCATAGTCGATGCCACTTGGATCCCTCTAGGGGCTGTACCTAATACCCCGCAAGGGTGTGCAACATTCTTGACTCTCACCATTTGGTCGGATCGATACAAAACTCATTTTATATAGGTTTGTGCTTCGCACCTCCTAACTTGTCTACGATCAAGACTTGAACTCCATTAGTAATCGTGCAAACTCCATTGATAATATTCGTAAATTCCATTATACTAAAATAAACTTGTGACATCAAAATCACAAACATTAATAGCATTCGTTCTATAACAATTACTAATAAAAATCGCATTTTCGGCACAAAACAAATGTTTGACATAGAACAAATGTGTGAGAGTAATGCCATCCTCATTGCACCCATGAAGCTGTGTGAAAATATCCTTAACAATAATTCCTCACATACATCATCTTACTTTCTAAATAACATGGTTTTTGGAGCAATCAATCCTATAAAAACGAAGATTTTTTCTAATATTGTTTCTTAATCTTATTTTTGCATTTTTGATAAGATCATCAGATTCCAAATAAGTTGATACAGATTCACTCCCAAGTAAATAATACGATTTACTTTGATATATAAGAGTCCAAAACTCTAAATCATCGTACACCAAAATGACTTACTTTATAACTTTCTTTATTTATTGAACGACTAACACATACTATTTTTAGAGAAAATTCATCAAATGACCTAAAGGAGGGGTTTGTAGCAAATGACCATTAAAACACAACTTTATTAAATGACCATGACTTCCGCAGAGTGGGGATCTATAGCAGTCCATGCGCTCTGAGGAATGGAAAAATAGATGAGGAAATGAGGCGGCAGAGTTAATTTCATAAAATCACTCTTTCCAAACCCGATTTCTTTATTAAGGCTATGGAAGAAGAGCGAGTTTGGCCTATTGGGGGAGGTTTGCGGCAGAACGAAGACGCGACGATGAAGGAATCGATCGATCGATGAAATAGGAACGATAGTTGTAAATTGATGGTAAGGCGATCTTGTAAACTACAACAGATAGATGAAGATGTGTTAGCAGATGACTATGGAACTCATGTAAGTTATCATCTTCCTTTTGAAATTATATGAAACCCTAGATTTTTAATCAGCAAAATAAATGTAGTTTTACGGTTATAATTGTTGTAGTGGATCAATTATATGTTCGTAACAGTGTATCCTAGTTAAATTGACAAAAAAACAGTTAAGAAATCCAAAAGTTGGCCATGGTTAACCGAAGAACAGTTCCTCAAAGATGTTTAGATGCAGAACAGAACTGTAGAGGGCCTTTCTGCGGATCCATATAGCCCTCTACGGAATTCAATTTTTTAAGTGGATTTTTTATGATTTGGACTATTTATGAATGCACATTACAATTTATGAATGTGCCAAAATTAAAAAAAAAAAACATACTGAAATGCCCTTCTTCCAAATTATAACATAAAGATCTCAAATTCCTTTAACGATATAGCAATGTAGTTTGAAAGAGGGTCAGTTTCTGTAAAACAATTTAAAACAGGGACCAATTTTGTCATTTAAGGGAATTTTTGTTCATCCAAACAACTCTGAGGTACTGTCCTTCTTTCTGAAACTGTCCCTCTTTCAAAGTACATTGCTATATCGTCAAATTCCATATAGATTACATTTTCTTCATTTACGGTCTTAATTTGTATATAAACAGAGACCAAGCTTGGTTTCAACATTTATATAGGATAAATTATTATACTATATAAAATTTAATGGGTTATTTTTTTAAATTGTATATAAACATTTATATGTATACGTGTTTTCTTTTGTATCATAGTATGCGTGGATGGTCTGCACAATTAACTTTTAAAGCAGTGGCGGGGACAATATTAAAAAGTTCATTCCAAGACTAAATACTAGGTGAATTGAATTATTTCAAGAGACACTATTTAGGACATTCATTGGTATGCCCATACCGAATGGTGATTCGATGCTATGTCATTTGATGATGTTGCATGAGATTCGTGATGTGGTGGCGACCAGGGATGGGAGGTTACGGTTCGAGTTACAGAACGGGGTCGTGGAATATGGTGAAACCGAATTTTGTTTGATAAGCGGATTGAGATATGGACCTTATGTTGATGTAATCAATACAAAATGCAACAAAAAAAATTGTATTACAGAATCAGTTGTTCCCAAATGTGAGAGATGAAGATTTACAGCTGAAAGATATATACGACTACATAAAATGGTCATAATTCTTGACTTGTGGCAATGATGATGCGGTAATGCTTATGCAATTTTCTTTTTGTGTTGAAAGGTATCATAGGATGGGATACAGATATGTGCATTCCGTCGGTAGTGTATGAGCTCGCCGATAATGTATATAATTGGAATTGGTACTAAATTTAGAAAATCTTTATAACATGAAAATGATTTATATTAATTAAAATGATTTCGACAAGTTTGTGTGGGGTATGTTTTTATGGAGGTATAGCCAAACACATTTACGACTCATGTTTGGGAAAATCCACAGATTTTTACTAGATTAGGACAATGTGGGTTCCCCGAAGACGGTTAAGTGTATGGTGACTGATTTTCAGCTTTTGTTTAAGGTGAGTTTTAAGTGAAGTTAATATTATACATTTACATTTTAAAGTGTTTATAACTATCGATAAATCATCACATTTTAAAGTTATAATAGGTATGGATTTTGGATATATTTCTAGAAGCTTTGAGGTATGTGCATCACACCGCAAATGAATTCCCAAGAATGAGGGCTTGGAGAATAAAAACACAATTAACTATCGAGCAAGGTTTACGTATATTAGATGTGTCACTGGTATAGTTATACATTCCTTATAACGTTATATATAGTTAAAAATCACAAAAAATATATGTAATTAAAGTTAATGTTTTTATTTTGCAAAAAAACAACATTCTACGTGCTGTTAAAGCAGTGGATTTTGAGATCCAATTGCCATTTTATATGTGTTATCTGACTTAGACTTTGCATGGAGTGGAGTCTCCACCGATGCAACAGACCCCCTAAACATCGGTCTCTATCAGCTCAACACTCTCAGTTTCAGCAAGCAGATTACATCATCTCACCTTCTCATGTTTGGGAAGCAGACCACATCATCTCACAAGAAAGTAAAATATACAAGTTAATGGGTGTTGTTAATCATTTGACAACCACAATCGAGCACTTTACGAAGAAATTGACAAATGGGAAAACAAAAGACAATTTGGTGTGAATGATATTGATAATGTGGATGCCCAAGAAACATTTTTTGATGGTTTGGAAACGGAGTCACCCCATATGTATGTGGAGTCATCACCGATTGTTGTTGAAGTTAACGATAAGACAGTTACACCGGTAAAGCTTACACCAGTAAAGGGGGGAAGTGAAATCGAAGTATTTTAGGGAGCCTTACATACAAGTATTTAAATTAATTACTTTATGTTTATAAATTATATCAATGAAGAACAAAATGGAAGAAAACCGAAGAATGACGGTACTGTAGAAAACGTAGAATTACTATTGGACAGTTACATGTCTTTCGATGAGGAATTTTGGAAATTATGAGGAAAGAACTAGGCAGCGGTTTTTTTGGAGTGGGTGGTTGGACTCTGCAGTAAGATATATCCCTTATTTCATAGCACAAAAAGTTTTGGATAACTAATTGTACAAAATGTAACTTCTTATCTTATAACACACAATATTTGGGAATATGGGCATCATTGCTCAAGGAAATCAATCCCTTGACTATTAGGTGGACGATTATTAATCCTCAAGGCACCACTTTGGAAGCTAGGAAATAATTTTATTTGAGGCATATAACAACATGGAAGGTTGGCGGACCTCGTTGGAAGGATATTGACCGGGTTAGTATATTTAGTTATATATCATAAAATTTTAAAATTATATATATATATATATGTGTGTGTGTGTGTGTGTAAATTAACATTTTTATGTAGGTTTTAATTGCCATTAATGTTGTGCAAATTCATTGGTTTTTGGCCAAGTTGAATCTCATTACATGGAAAATGATCATATACGATTCAGCCAAATGGTGTGGTTACTTTAAAAACTATGGGGATAATGGTTGTTTCAAAACCTTGGTTGATAGTATTTTAAGTGAACTAGATAAAATTTCACATTGGCAACATTTTTCCCATATACAGAAACCTACTATGGTGGAATTTGTTGAATGTGAAAACATGCGGCAACAGGAAGAATGAGATAGAGGAGATTGTGGAGTATATGTGTGCATGTTCATGGAAATGCTTGCATCGGGGGTGGTAGTGGAGACACCCCAACAAACTAGAGTTACGGAATTTAATTATCATAATAGGATGTCAAAAATTATTTGGGCAACTAGAGTTTGCTTGTGTAGTTTGATTACTGTTTTAAGACTATTTGCTTATGTTATGATTATATTAGCGAATCATTACTTGTTAAGTAAAACTCATAAACTAACTACAAATCGACAATAATACATATAAAAAACCAAAGATACATAATAAATGTACCACAAGAATTGAAAAAAGATCTAACTCTTTACCAAGAATTAAACGATCATCTATGTAAATTTATAAATCCTTAAATCCACAGAGTTGTTTTTCAATCCGCGGAGCTATCTGTCATTCCACAGAGCTGTTTTTCATTTTGAAGACCTACTTGTTAGTCCGTAAAGCTATTTGTCAGTTTACAGAGCTGTTTATTATTCCACAGAGCTGTTGACGGCATCGTCATCATATCATATTATCATACCGTTGTCACGTTTAAGTTCTTTATAAGTACGGACAATTACAGCTCTAACCACTTCTGATCTTTCTAAAGGCATGTTTGGAACCGTGTCTTTGATCACAGCAACAATAACGTCACAAATATGAGCATATCGGCGATTGCTAGCTCCTATGATTCAAATACACATCAATTCTCGAGCCCCGCTGTTATCTGCTACATTCAAATGGGTCTGAGGTTGAATCATATCGTTTTTTTATATGTTTTTTACAATACAAAGGTCGAAGAAAAAAAATAGATTGTTTGTCCAAAAAAAGAAACCCGCACCCGCTATTATTTTTTACCCACGACCAATTTCTTTTTTATCCCGAAATGATGAATTGAGCTCGTATAGGCATTTTGGACGTTGCTATTGAAATAGCCTTTCTGGCTATATTTTGTCCTAACATTGCCACAACCGTTTTTCTTATTTAATTAATAATTTATTCTTCAACAAACTCACACATCTATTCTGAAATGTCAAGCAATGTACCAACTTCTTCAATTGTAGCGACATCATCTAATGCTTGATGTCCATGGATGACAAGAGAGTTGATGGTGCTAACACGATGTTGGACAGACGTTTACAAGTGTGTAACTCTAATAGATCCCCCTCATTTCATTGTATGTAATAAATGGACCCACATAACATGTTTGTTTACCCATGAGATGGGAGAAGGACAACACCAACTTAAAGCATATGTTGTTAGTAAGTGGATGGAATTAAAGGAAAAAAATCACATGGCTCAATTGATAGTATCATTATGTTAAAAAATATGAATTATTATGCAGGCAATGAAGAACTTTTAAAGATCATTACATGATTGTGCGTGATGGAAGTGAGTTCGAATACGAGGACGTTTGTAATGTAGTTAAAAATAACCAATATTTCATGTAGATGGTTGTTTTATGTGTAATGTTTTATGTAATGTTTGCTACTACTTTATCTTATTATTTGTATTGTTTTATGTTTCCATGTATTTGTAATGTTTATGTTTTTTGTTTCCATGTATTAATGTAAGGTTTGTAGTTTATGTTCCATGGAATAAAATAGACAACAACTCTAAATAACCTAATACAAACCAAATACATAAAAAAACCTAATACAAACCAATACATATAAATGTCCTAATAAAAACCAAATACATAAAAATAACCTAATACAAAGCAGTACATCTAAATAACCTAATAAAAGTCATATACATAAAAATAACATACTACAAACGCAATACAAATTAAAAATACGAGAGATCTTTTATAAGATTCCAAGGGGATTTATAATCGAATTCCGATTATATTCCTCTTTCGACACCTCCAATATCACTTCCTCATTTTCATTCAGCCGTGTGTCACCAATTTTGTTATAAAGATCGTTGAATAACAAGATTTATGTTTTCAGTTCATACCAGTTTGCTATGATATCAAGGGTGCTACGATAGTTTTCTATTATGGTTTGAGGGTCGTCATTGAAGGTATAGGTTAAACGGGTCCAAAAACTTGGATCATTCACACTGATGTTCTCGTAGACATTAATATATACACGAGTTAGATGTAGCTTCTCCTCAGCGATCCATGGTCTGGAACCCATTGTGAGTGAAAATATGAGGGGTAATTTTTCAGAAAAATGAGATGTAGAAAAGGTACCGAGTAGATGAAATGATACACATTCTAAAGTGATTTTATAGTAAAATATTACTACTGTGGTACTAACACGATTTGATACACAGTAGATGAAACAGTACTGCGGAATTAACACTACTTTGTTGCAGAGTTAATGATAAACATATTTAAAATAAACTTCATTCATTCAAATTAACACTACTTTTTTGTCTTATACAAACTTCATAATAAACAGATTTTAAAATAAACTTTATTCATTTAAATTGAACCATGTAAAGTATGCTCCGTCTTTGTATTTCGTCCATTGGTTTTGTGAGGCTTGCATCCCTAGGTTTTCTGTCTCGTGCATCCGTTGGTTTTCTAGCTCCTCCTTCCATTGGTTTTCTGTCGCTTGCGTCCCTTCATCTTCTGTCGCTTTTGTCCCACTTCCTGACGCCCCACTACGTTTTCTACTTTTATTTTTCTTCTTTAGGATAATTTCCTTACATGTCCTTGCATTATTTGTTGTACTATAGCATCTACTACATCTTCTTATTTTCGGTTTCTCACATTGTGAAGGGGATATAGTTGGTGTTTTTCGGTTTACCCACTTGACATATTTCCATTACAGGAGGGGTAACAACCATAAGGTCATTGATACTTCCCAATCATGATGTTCTGGAAGGGGGTAGAAGGCCTCTTCATACGTTCTTCGATACGTTTCAATTTTATAAGCATCTATAGCCATATGCCCGTAATTTTCATTTTTCAAGCGCGTTAAAACCATTATCACATGACCACAAGGCAAACCAGTTGGTTGTCAATAATTGCAAGAACAAGTCTTTTGCCTTAAATTAGTTCCTTTAATGATAGCTTTTTGCCTATGCTCTGGGTGTATAAATAATGAAGAACATGTGTGCTTTTCAATAAACGTCTTAATTTCAAACATTTCAGTTCCTTTAATGACAGCTGCATATAAATGCCAATGACAGTATTCTTGCAAACAAACAACCTGGTACCTTGATTTGGTAGCTTTTTGTACCTTAATCTGAAACTTTTCTGTAACTACTTTGAATTTAACAGAAGATGCTAGATATTTTTTTGGTGTTATAGGTTTGATTCACAAATATTTTATCATTTGGACATAAACTGTGAAATGGTCCAGGTTCAAGAATAGGTTCTGGACAATCAGTAATGGGAGAAATACAACACCATAGGTTAAAAGCAATTTTTTGTTGCGTGTACTCATCTTCTGACCAGCCTTCAATTGATTTTTCATCAGATAATCGATCATCAAAATTAGGTAGTTCTCCAAACTCGAATAAAATTTCTTGTTCTAATTCTGTTATGTGCAAATTTGGTTCTTGATCATTATCTGATACAAAGTTATCAGGAACTGAAGCTGTCTTTTGATAATCCACTCCCACTTCTTATCCTAGTCCACAGGAACGGTTTCCATTGGATTGTTTTTCTCCACAACCTCTATTACCTTTTGCTCCAATAAACTAGCTGTTATGAAACTTCACCACTGACTGTTCTTCAACTTCTTCACCAACACCGATAAATACAAATGCATTGTTTGCTTTATTTCAGACATTACATGTCTCAGTTGAAATACATCTAATTCATCTGCAAGCTTCATGGCATACCCACAATCTGGGTGTTTGAAAGAAAAAGATATATGACTATTGAACACATCTGCCTTATTTCTAACAATTTGTAATAACATCTGATAGTCACAGTTAGGAGGAATATTTAAACCAAAGTTTTTAACATTATTTCTAAAGTAAAGCTCATTTCCATTAATCGAATGCCATAATCCTCCTTATACACTGAATAATAAAACTCATTCTTTCGAAACACTCTCTG